ATCGCATGATATGCGGATGAAATGATGTAAGGGATGAGAGAATGTTGTTTTACGTTGTGTAATTAATATAAAAAAATAATATATAAAAATTATTTAAGAAAATTATTTATATGCTATTACCCAAATTGAAATTGCATACTAATTTAGGTAGGTTTAGTGACTTTATTAGTCCATAAAAAAGGAATTTATTTTTACTTAACGTTTCAAAATTTATAAGAGCTATTATTCTATTCAAAATATATGAAGATTTATCATCTTGCAGATGTAATTTGATATACACATTTTTTTACGTTATGTCATTTGATATTTTAATTTATCAATCATGGTTAATCTAATTTATTTCAAGATAAAAAAAATTATTTCGGCATTACTTTTTGGTAATGTGATTGTTTAAGAAGAAAAAGGAAAATAACACCTAAATTTCATGATCTGATCATTATATATTTTTTTCATAAAATAAACTCCTCAATTTTTTGAATTTATATCTCCCTTTCTAAACTATAATCTGATAAAAATAAATAAATAAATCTTATCATTCTTATAGTATTTTTGTTATGATTTTCCTTGAAATATATATATTATGTGCAGTCGACAATCCCAGAGTCAAAACTTTGTTAGTACTTAGTACCTCAAATTTTTTTTTTGAAAAGGCAATTTTGTTTATCTTCGTGCGTGGTTTAGGCCGTTGCATCTATCCACAACAAGAGAAAAAACGTCACATATTATCAATATTTTTTAGAGTATATGTTAAAAAAGATATTTTTAATTATATTTTTTATAAAAAAATTTATTTTATACTGTTTAAATTAAAGTAAATTACATAAAATTAATTATTAATAGTAAAAAAATTCCTAAATGTAGGGTATATCATTGTTTGACGAAATGAATTAATTATCGATGACTACCTATTTCAAAAAAAAAAATGTTTTAAATTATTTGACATTTTGAGAAAACGAATGCATCGTTAATTTTTCTTTTCCAATTTTACAGCACTTATCATTAAATACAGAGCTTATTACGTCGAGTGTGCTGTAAATTTTAAAAAAGGGTAATTTGGATACTGGAGTCTCTTACATCCTCTAATTAATGTTATTAATTAATTTTTCTAATAGGTGTGCAACTCCTAAAAAGTTATGTTCATAAAAAAATAAAAAAAAACTCCTAAAAAGTTATATATTTTGAAACAGATGCATCTGTTTCACAATATAATTAGTTTGATTTTATTTTTTTTACATACATATAGTTAAAGTAATGTGTTTTTACACTAATATATAAATAAATTTGTCTAACCTATATTGATTAATAATACATTAATTGTGACGAAGGCCTGAAGGCCTACAGACCATCTATCGAATTGTAAAAGACTTCCTCATCCGGTGGCAAGATTCGATCCTATAGTATCTCCCTCCTCACCCTCTTTCCACAAGTTGAATTACTTGCTCCTGCCCTATAAAAAAAAATATATTAATTACATCTTTTTCATTAATTTATATAAAAAATATAAAAATTAATTTTATTTTTAACTCTAATGACGTGTGTATTATTTTAATTACAATTTATAAAATTGAAATCAAAATTTACTTTTATAATAATTAATAAATCTTTAACATATATATTTTTTAAATATTCAAAATGAGACTCCAATTTCACATCTTAAACTAATATAAAAAGACTTTTATGGAGAGTTCATAGTCAGTAAAGCACAATACCATTCTCCCTTTACATATATTTTACATGTTATTAAAATTTTTATTTTTTATATAATTTTTGTTCAATTATTTTATTGTATAAAAATATTTCAATTATAATTCATATAAAATATACAAATTAAAAAAAAAAAAAGAAAAAAGAAAAAAGCAAACTACTTATATTTTAGAACAGATTTGTTTCTCTACAAAACCTACAATAAAAGCACCACAAAATTTGTTTTCCAGAAGCGCATTTATTACGCTACAACCTTATTGAGGACAAAAACCCAATAATTCCCAACCCTCTATATAGGATTTTAAAGGCTTTCTGGCCCATCAACCCATCTTAAAAGCTTGGGTAGGTCCTATAGGTCCTCCATCCCCTGCTAGGCGCTCTTTCCAATGGCAGCTAACCTTTCCAAGAAAAGGTCGAACATCTCCTCCCGACTCACCATGCTGATTCTCACATGCTTCACTTCCGACCCAAATCGCATCCCACTTCTCGTCAGTATCTTATGCTCCTTGAAAAGGGACTCCATGTCCCGACCCTCTTTGCTCTCCAGCCATGCAAATGCTGTTATTTTTTTCCCCTCAAGAAACCAAAATCATTAGGGAAAAAAAATGGAAAATATAAATTTAAATGCAAACTACATCAAACGTATGGGGCATTTTTACCGGGACAGGATCTAGTGAGTTCTTTATTGAAGTTGCAAAAATCTTCGGGGTACTCTGGTAGCCTGAAAATCTCGCTGCTTTCCACAACCTCCCGCAGCCTTTCCCATCTCTCAGCCATGACACGGTGGCTGTACTCAAAGAAGTTCTCAAACCCAAAGTTCTGCAAGCCATCATCACTGATCACTTCAAGAATCTTCGCAGCTCGTAGCTGAGATTCTTTAGAGACGCCAATACTGCTCAACTCAATAAACTTTGTCATCCGCCTAGCGATCCGTTCATCCTTGACGATAGCCCACCTTAATTTCGTAAGAGCAGAAAACATTTGAATTTCAATCAGATACTCCATTAAACAAACAAATTATCACGCACGGCAGCAGAGATCCAAACTCACCCTATTCGGGACCCAGCATGTCCGGTGCACTTGGAGAAGGTGAATAGCATGATATCATGATCCGCAGCACTAGTTATAGGGGTATACTGAGGCCAGTAATAGGCAAGATCATGTATTAGCT